CCCCAAAACCCCAAAACCCCAAGATTCAATATCAATAGTTTAAAGAGCTTTGTTAAAATAAATTATAATATTAGGAAAGTAGCAAAATGAAATTAGTTGAATTATATAAGCTATCAAAAATGTTTCAATTATTATACTAATTAAATCTTTATTTATCTCTATTATTAGGTCAATAAGTATGAATTTTCTAAATTAAAGCAGTGTTTATGTTGATACCAGTTCCTATTTACTTGCCAAAAACAACAGAGAATCAGCAGGTCAGATGATAAAAAATATAGCAAATATAGCGATTCCAGTCATTATAGGACAGTTTTTCGCTCTTTTTGTGGAATCAATAAATGTTGCTTTTGTGGGACATCTGAACGATCCAGCTAAGGTGGCTGGTACAGGCCTAGGTAATATGTATGTCAATATTTTCTGCCTGTCTATCGTATTCGGCCTAAATGGAGCTATTGCCACACTTGCTTCTTAAGCGCACGGAAGTGGAAATGACAGAAGAGCTGGTCTATACTTGAATAGAGGCAGAATTGTGATAGGGATAGCATTTATTCCTATAATTTCAATTTTACTGTGCACTGAAAAGGTTCTCATCCTGATTAAGCAAGATAAACAAGCCGCAAACTATGCGCAAATCTATGCTTACGGTTTGATTCCAGCTATGATATTCCAATCTCAGTTCGATGCCACCAGACAATTCTTAAATGCTATGCACAAAACTAGAGTTGTAATGATTGTCAATATTGTAACTTGCTGCTTGCACTTTTTATGGTGCTATCTACTAGTAATGGTGGCTGGCTTAGATATTAGTGGAGCTGCTCTAGCTACAACTATCACATATTTCCTCAATTTTATTATTGTGACCATTTACTGTGCCAACTGTTCAGATCTTAAGGAATCTTTCTTCTTCCCAGATAGAGAAACATTCAAAGATTTAGGAGAGTATCTTAAAATTGGAATACCGTCTGCAAGTATGCTCTGCCTAGAATGGTGGAGTCTTGAAGTACTAGCATTAGTAGCTGGATACATCAATGTAATTACTACTGCATCGTTTGTTATTATTGCGAACACTTATACTATATTGAGTATGTTTGCATTTGGTGCTAGTATTTCTGCAAGTGTTTGTGTTGGTCAAGCAGCTGGTGAGGGAGATCATTTCAAAGCTATATAGTACTCAAAGCTTATAGTCTCTATGACTTTTATCATGGTTATTATACTTTCAATTTTCCTACTTCAAGCAAAAACTGTAATAGCTAGAGTGTTTACAACTGACGAAGAAATGATTTAATTGATTTCTAATGCCTATATTATCCTAGCAGGCGCTCTGATACTCCAAGGACTAGGTCTGGTTTAAAGTGGAGTGCTCAGAGGTCTCGGTCTTTAATCCAAGGGTACAAAGGTTGTGCTTTTTGCTTTTTACTTTGTCTCCCTACCTTCATCCTACCTTTTTGGTATCTATTATGATTTGAAGCTTGATGGGCTAATATATGGAATCACCTGTGGTAGCTTTACTTTCGCCTTTCTAAACTTCATTATACTTAAATTTACAATCTCTTGGAGGAAATTAGTCAGAGAAATTAATCATAAAATGAAGGATGAGCACATAAAAGATCAACCAAGCAGCTATATAGGAGTCTCAGCCGATCCTACGTTAGCATAAAAGTAGCAAACTATTTAAAACTAAGATAACGAAGTGAGTACTATGAATTCTACTTAAAGAATAAACACAGCTAACAGTAATAATAGTCCATAAGAAGTGAAGGAGAGTCCAAACTACACTCTAAGGTAAAGATAGGAAAAAGAATGAAAAGAGCCACTCATTAATAATATGGAATGAATGAGCATCCAAAAGTTTAGATTTTATAAAGTTACAACTAATACTGTTGAAGTTTTATAATTTTCTAAATAGATTGTTATTAGTCAATTGATAACTTATTAGCTAGTTAATTTTCTAATAATTTGATTCTCACTATTCAATTTTAATTCTAAAGATGGGGTTTTGGGGTTTTGGGGTTTTGGGGTTTTGGGGTTTTGGGG